TATTTAAGGATTTAAAAGAAAAAAGCGGGCATTGAAATCTGATGCGATTACGACGGACAAACAATACTAAACTGGAAGACTACATGACAAGTCTAGCCAAAGAGGAAAATGTGTATTCTCCAACCATTACATCAGCTAGAGCTGTCTTCCAACGATTTCTGAAAGTTACCTATAACAGAAGACCTCAAAAACATTTTTTAACTACTCAGTTGCGCTAAAAATTAACGCGGAGAGATTTTTTTTTAACAAATAGCTCTTTCCAAGTGAAATATGTGTATAAAATGAATTAAAACTATCTAGGTTTGCCCTAGCCCGCAGAAATGAGTCTCAGAGCCCAGACGACAAACTGACTGAAAGCTTGTAAGAAGAAGCAAAAATCCTTGCGGTTCGATCTCATTATCTGAACTTCGCACTTACCCCTTCCCTACCCCCCCACAACAGTCAAAGGATAACAAGTTAGGGTTAAGGGAGGGGTGGGTGCACAGTTGCTAATATTGATCCAAAAAGTCTTGCAGGCTTAACCCCACGTGCACTTAGTCTGGGAACTGATACTGTGCAGTAACTCGACGCCATGATTCTCTTCTACCCCTGGTTAAAATAAAAAAAATTGAACTGATTTGTAATTTTTGGGGGAAATTAAGAAATTTTGAAAAGAATTCTAGCCCTATATTATATAATTATGTAAATATTTAAGTTAAATGTGCATATGGATGATCAATCCGAGTTAAATAAATATACATTTTCTGTAAATTTGGCGAAGTTTTATTTCAGCATAAGGTTCGGAAATGGGCTTTTTGAGATACGGTGTGTGTGTGGAATGTAAATGTTTCTTTTCAACTGTGTTGTCTTCCGCGCCAGTGTTTCATAACTTCGTTTACCTATTCACAAACTACTTGTGATAAACAATCCTCACCTAACTTCTCTCTCTCTTTTTGTTGCTGCACACACATGTCCAGTTAAGGATTCGTATGAAAATAAAAGACCTAAAAGGTCGCACGCTCAATCGAAAATTATATAGAGGGTTAAGCTAGTGAACTGGAATTGGAACCGAGCTAAATGGGCCTAACTCACACGATCCCAAGGACGGAACAACCATTTAAGTGAGGTAAATTTGTTTTTTATGTAAAACTAGTAGATGTTTAGGTTGATTGTGCGAACGTTTATTCCCATAAATGCAAATCCTTGTCTCACCCATTGCTCGACGTAATAATTTCTGCAAAGCACGGAGGCTTACTAAGAGAGTTTTGCCGTAGGCGACAGTCTCGTGCACACAATGAAGATCAGCTCATCCGCATGAAAGTCACTCATAACAGGATGTCATGTCAAGTAAACAACGGGATATTCTATTTCACATCAAGTCGAAACAAAAGTTGTGCTATGTTAAATATTTTTGCGCTGGTAGACCACACTTGGGGTAAAATATTTCACATCATGATCTCAAGGATAAAATCTTCATGACTAGAAGTTCCTTGGTATGTACCTAACAGAGCGTGACGTTCCATCAGCGCTGCAGTGCGTTGCTAGCGGAGTGACGTAGCAGATATTTTTCAGCACACTCGCGATTTCAACGTCGACAGCCCTTAGAAATTTTGTTTCACACGCTTTTCAAAAAGGGCTACTTTGTTTCTCACGGCAATGATTTCACTTCAGATAAACCACAGATAATAGATACCACCGACATTCGAGTACATGCAAACAAAATGTGTAGTTTTCACTTGTCACTTTCAGCTCTCGAACGAACGGAATCACTCACTGGGTGAAGTTCATTCAAGGGCGTTGGAGCGGAGGACTGGAACTACACCAATTGTTTTTTTTTTTACAAGAATACATTTGACGAGTCTAGGCGAATAACGTTTTGCAGTTTTTTTCTCTCACCAAACGAAGTTATTCCGATCTTTCACGATGTCGATTCTCGGGGAATTTCTCCAGGGAATATCTAGTGCAACGAACTTTCCACCAGATCAGGTATTAAAGTTTCGCTGATATTACTATTTTTGTTTAATTCTTCACCTAGGCGGGCCCTTGACCATAGTAACTGACATTATACGCCGAGATCGATCAAGCGTAGCGAACCTCAGAAACGCATATCGCAGTGCGAGTTCTTCGCTTCATATTTAGCTGGCTCTATGGATTTACATGTGGACTTCTTTTTTCGTTTTCAGGCCAATTTTATCTTTTGCATGTTGTTGTGTGCACCTCTTGGGACGGCATTTCGCTTGTTGTTGCATCCGGATCGTGTCTCGTCGAATACAAGAAGGGCTGTAAGTCTTTTCTGGGGCATAGCTCTTGCGTGGTTTTGTTTCAAATGGTAAGATAAAATTTTCTATTTTCTAACGTATTTTTTAAATTTTATTTTTAAATATGGCTTATTAGGTAATGTTCAGTTGTGTTTTTCAAAAGCACTGTACTGTAATAAATATTTAATTAATGTATATTTTGTTAAGTAACAGGTGGACAATTATTTTTTATTTTCGCCCACGAAAGAGGCGCAGCAATCCTTTTTTTTCGCTTGCAGTTTATGTTTACATTTTCTCGTTTGTACACTTTAAGATTTAAGGAAATTTAAAACGATCATGTACACCTAATAACCAAGTATTGCCATAGGAAAAAAATTAACATAACAAAAATTCTAACGTTGATAAAGCATCTTTTGTATAATTAACTCAGTGGTAAGATTTTTTCACCTACGTACCTTCAATAATTTCCAACCTGATGTTGGTGCCATAGCAACAAATTAGAATGCAACAAATCGTAATGAACCAACTACGTCACTAGCTTTCATCGAATTTCTTTGCCAAGAACAGTTCTATAACTTTGAAACTCTAAGCATTCACGATGTTTCGGAGGTCCATCTCCAAATACAATAATATGAGTTTATTTGTTTTGATTAGGGAAACCCAATTTGTACTCTCCTGGGTTATAGTAAAAATAAAAAAAAATAAAAAAAATCTGAGGGCTGCAAACTCCTCCATTAAATGTTTCGGTTAGGAGAAACCCAATTTGATCACTCAAGTTGCTCTTAAGTAATTAATTTAAAAAAAAAATTGAGTGCCCTTTCACCCCTAAATGTATTCGTAATGTTCCTTACTGCCTGCCATTTCCATTCTTGTGATGTTAGTTTGTAGAATTTGCTATTGGGTCAACAAATTATCCTAAAATTGATATTATTCTTTATTCTCAGCACCTGTTTGCTTGATGTTGTGTTAATATTGTAAGGAGAAATTCTGTCTTCATCACTTGAGGGTATTTAAGGATTAATCGAAGTCCAATCATTTGTTTTTGCATACTTCTTTTACACTTCTCCTTGTAAGATGTCTTTTGTATGTTATTCCCCAGGGCCCAGTTGTTAAAAGGCTGATTAGCATTAACCCAGGGTTAAATTTTAATCCAGGTTTCTTTATTTATCTCTTTAAAAGCCGTCTTGGGGTAATTTTCCCAATTCTTTCTAGAGCACTCAATCATTAAATTGTAGACAAATGCAGTGAAACTGAATTTTCTTTTAAAGCATTCAGATCTGAAATAAAAACATCACACTAACCCTGGCTTATCTTAACCAACCTTTGAACAACCTGGCCCAGATGCATGAAATTTAACCCACTTTTAATTTCCGTTCTTTCTCTTGACAGGCAAACCTTAATCTTGATCAGTTTTAGCAGCATATGTTATATTCTCACATGGCTTTTAAATCCTGCATCAGTTCACAAGTAGGTTAACTCTAAAGATCTAATCACTGATTCTCAGTCCCCAGTATCCCCTCTCTCAATTTCTTGTAAAAAACTGTTACCCTTCTCCTGGTGTGATTCCATGAAGGGCATGACCCCCCCCCCCCCCCCCCAAGCCCTAATTACATTTTTGGTGATATTCCCCTTTTTGATGCATAAAATTTAATGACCCTTTCCTATATACATAACTCCCTCTACCCTCCAAGGGTTTCATTAAGGGCCAGGCACTGGGCAAATTGACCGGTTGTGAGGACGGTTTTGCCCACCTGATTTGACGGTCTTGAGGAAAGTTTATCTTATAAAGAAGCTCAGTTCAAAGAGTTTTGCCCGCCTGCAGAAAACATTAATGAAGCCCCTGACCCTCCCCACCCATATGCCACTTTTTTTTCTTACCTTATTTTGACATCAACTGTGACCTAAAATCTTGCGCAGGCACATGGCAACATATAATCTATTTGTTAAACATATGATCCATTTCATTATAATCATGGCAACCTATAGTCTATTTCTCTTGTATTAATTTCACCACCAAACAGAATGCCCTCTCCCCCCTCCCATGGCTAACAAGCCTCACCAATTTTTAATTTTTGTTTGATAGATATCTACTGGTTGTGTCAATGGGTTTCATGTCCATTGCTCATCTCTACAGACAAATTACTGACTTTGGCGGATACACTTTGGACTTCACGGGGTAAATATTCATGATGATCATAAAAATAATAATTAAGGAAACTTAGTGGTGGACTTTCCACGAGTTGGCTTCTCTTGTCCACTGTTTCGAGGTTAAACTGGGATTTGGAATAATTGTTTTTGTAGAAGGAGGAAAACGGCAGGACCCGAGAGAGAAACCTGCAGAGTGAGGACGAGAACCAACAATAAAATTCAACCCAGGTCCAGAAATCAAACCAGTGCTATAGTGGTGGAATCCAGAGAATTTCACCCTTTGTCAGAATGAAAGAAGAAGAGCTATCATTCAAAATGTCAGCTTCAGGAAACTCTTTACAGAAGCCCATTTTCCACTGTACTAAAACAAAAATTCTTTAATTTTATGGGCATTTAAAAGCACTCAGTCATCTTTTATCCTCTCTTTACAGACCCCTGATGGTTTTGGTACAAAGGATCACTTATGTGGCATTCAGTGTACATGATGGTACGTATTTGGAATAGTTAATCTGTGAGATGCATACTTTACCATACTGTTCTCTATACATTTCCCCAGGTGCTGGTAGGGAGGATTTGTTTAACAATCAACAGTTTCTTTAGTTGGTGATTCATCCTTTATTCCTCAAAACCTCAATGTGTGATTCAGGGATGATTTTGTGCGGAGAAATTTTAAATGCTGGTCATTTGGGGTCAAATAGTTAAGGCCCCTTAATATAAACAGGAGTAGGTGATTAGACATTGAGTGATGGATCTCTGGAATAAAATTGTTAGGTTTATAACCCATCTGCTTAAAAATAAAAATTATCAGGTAAACTTATGTTATTGAAAAGTCATTTTCATCTTTTGCCTGTCTCTCTGACAGGGCTTGGAAGGGATGATAGCAAACTAACAGAAGAACAAAGGAAATGTAGACTTCAGTAAGTTTAATCATTTAAATCTTCAATACTCTGTTTCCTTCCCAAGGGTGACTGTATTCAAAACAAACCCATATTAAAATACTGTAATACCCAACAAATAAGCCACACTAACAAATAAGCCCCAACCCAAGTTTGGCAACTCAAATTTTGAAAAAAGAGTTTTTGCAAAGAGTTCAAAAGAAAATTTAAGTGGAGTCTCTAGAAAGTTGCAGGATATTGGTTGCTTTATCAAACATACACTATTGTTAAGCTATTTTTAAGATTTAAGATTAAATGACCCATCATAAGCATGGGATCAAGAAGGCTCCAGTGCCATACAATGCCTAGTGAGTACTAATTTTTTTTCATTATTTTTTTTATTTTCCAGGAAAGTTCCTTCTTTGTTGGAGTACTTTAGCTATTTATTTCACTACAGCACAATACTTGTTGGACCGGTTTGCACCTTTAGAGACTTTAGTGATTTTATTGATGGCTCAGACATCAGATCAAAGGTACTGAAGACGTACAGTTTATATACTAATTTATAATGAGGCATTTTGTTAAGCTTGGCTAGAACACTTTAAAACAAAAATCTATAAATCATTCAATGAGCCCCAAATGTTTGCATTGTGACCATACCTACTTTCATCCCTGACGTTTCCACCACTAAGGAATGATATAACTGATGCGTGATGTAAACAAATTTAAAAGCAAATAATGTTCAAGAAGATAGCATATGACTATGCAATAAGCTAATGTGAACTGCTGAGAATACACAGCAAACCATAAAGCATACTTTGTATGATTACGAGGTTACATTAGAAAGCCACAGGTCATCTGGGGGGGTGAGCAACCCCTGCACCCCTCCCTTAGTTCTATCTCTGGTAGGGTGGTTGGAAAGTATGACCTCTTTTCTTTACATTTCTCAAGCGTACTTTTTCAGAGCATGATGGCTAACTTCACGCAGGTTTGTGCCTTAAGCTCAACTGATTTTGCGTTTCTCTCGGTAGGAGCCAGGCCAGAAGGAGCCTTCACCTTTGGTAAGAGTTCATGTGAAGCTAATGGAACAAATGTCAGTCATAGGAATATTCAGTCCTTGCCCAGCCGCATCAATCAATGCAAAGCTTTAACATACCCCCCACCCCCCGCAACATGGCGACCGCCCTTTGAAGATTGTTTTGTTCATATTCCCCCTCCCCTAGGCATAATTACGTTCACTATTTTTATTGAAGGATCTTTTGTGTGACTAACGAATGTTGTAAAATTTAGCAAAGTCATGTATTAGCTTTTGGTGCCACTGTGGGGTTTTTCGCTTGTAAGCATCATTCCTCGATGTAGAAATTTGGCTCATCCTCAGCGTAAAAACCCGTGAAGCTCACGAGTGACGTAAAACAAAGACAACAAAACATTATAAACAACAGCGTACAGCAAAACAATGAATGAATGAATGAATGAAAGCCTTTATTTAAAGAGGGTAGCACTTAATAGCCAGAGGCTAATAAACTTGTGGCCCTCAAAATACTTCAAGAAACAAAGAAAACCTCGTCAGGTTTTTACACCGAGGATGATCCTGAAATTTTATCATGACAAACCCGTTTAGCGACTGAATGTAATATTTTCGAATGAATTATAATTATATTTTATATCGTTTGAGAGAAGTTATTGTACATTTTACAGCGTTTGTTCATTCACTATTTCACAGCCGTTCATGCTCTGCGGTAAACAACCATTTTAAGAAAAAGGCAAGATCAGCGACCTTTACTTTCTACTCGTTAACCAGCAAGTCCTAACAACTGACTCCACCATCAAAACTTTAAAACCCACAAATTACATAACTCAAAAGTACACTTTAGCTTTTAAACACACCTTCAACGATTTGGAGCAACTTCAGAAATTATACATGTCCACCTCACGTACATGTGTCGGAAGGTTTTGTAGAATGAGGGGCTAAACTTCAGAATACCCGGCCACTTGTTTACATGTCATTAAATAAGAATAGCGTCTATTGTGTTATGCCTCATTTTTTTATGAGGCATGACACAATAGACCGAAGACGCTATTCTTATTTAATGACATGTAAATGAGTGATTTTTCCAAGCTTTTGTAGACCATATCTGTTAACCACGAAAGCGGAATGTTTGCCTCTAAACTCCTCCATATTAGAAAATAGCCTGATTGCAGGCGGTAGTTTGAAAGCGCGCGATTTAGCGCGGCGGAGCGCACGAGTATATTTGGTCGCCATATTGGACGTTTGGAAGATCTGGAACGAGTGACGAAGCGAGGGGGAGGGGAGAAGAGGGTTTTTCTCTCTTTCCCCTGATCTCTAATCTCTTTCTTATGCCACAGTTTGCCGCACTTAGAAATCTAATGGTGTCGACGGTGTGTATAGCCTTCGTAGTGATGACTGGATCCAATTACCCCATCACCAGGAATGGAGGTATTTAAATACTTTTTCTTAGTATGGTTAGCTCATTAGAGCAATTTCCGTCAAGTTTTCCAAGATATTGGTTTTGGCGGCTTTACTTCGTTCTGTAACTGGTCTAAAACTACTCGCACCATTCTCCCAACCAATGGGATGCAAACCTAACATCGCCCACATTTTCCCGCGCTTTAGGCAGTTTGGTTATCCTGGAGTTCTCATTGGCTCTTTAAGGTGTTTTCCTTTCTTCTGATTGGCCATTGTAGTAACTTTGGTTTTGCATTTACGCGACACGTAATCGAAAGGTGCCCTATTCTTCATGAAGTAAACGCAAATTTCAAGTTTAGCATCCTCACTTCCAACTTCTGTGAGGCGCTATTGTAAATTTTTTACCCTCAATTTGCCTCTCTTTACCCAGGGGTGTAAAATTAGTACCCGGCGAATGGTCCACGAAGAAGCGAACCCTGACGGAATTCTTGGTAGGGAAGGGGGGGGGGGTGAACCGCCCCATCCGGTGGAATAGGAATAATTTAAATCAACATATGCTACAAAAACAGTAATAAGTTCGGACAGCATACGCCCTCCCCCTACCCTCAAGTCAATTTGAAAAGGGGGCGGGCTGTACCTCCCTTCGGATGTACGTCTGACTGCATTTCCACTTTCGTTTACAGCGAATTACAACTCTTTCTTAACTCAACACCGTGTTCTGTTTCCTTACAGATCCGGATTTCATAAGGTCTAGTCCTCTATTTTGGAGACTTCTTTATGCCTGGATCTCAATAGTGTCTGTAAGAATGCGTTACTACTTCGCGTTTAAACTTGGTAAGTAATAATTAACACAAGCCCATTCTTTGTATCATATTTCCACGAATTCTCAGGAATTGAGTGCGGCGGGATTGCTTTAATTTTGCTTAACTTCCCGCTGTGGTTCGTTTAGAAACTTCGCGCCACCTCGGCTACTAATCGGATGCGCACGTGAAACTCGTCACCCCAAGAACACTCGCAGTTTTCCGCGTGGGACATTTCCTTGTTCTGGTCTTAGTTTTGTAATGTTTTGAGCTCGGAATAAATGATCTTATTCGACGCCTTGTTCCTGCTTATTCAACTGGTCTGATATCGAGAACAACGATCTCTTAGAAAAGCCTTGTAATGGGTCGATATCTCGTTAAGAAACAGAATACATGTTGATGTGCGCCTGCTCAATAATAGGTCACCGATGCGGTCAAAACGCGGTAAGAACAAAAAAGTGGCATACGTGGCGCCCCAAGTGTATCACTGACGTTTTTGCCATTTTTTGACGTCTGTTACTTTATATGTCCCCCCGTCACATGAAATCTTTTTGTTTTATGAAATAAAAAACCCGAAGTCACTCTATGCGTCTGCCCTCTGAGTGTGTAATTCAGTTGATATAATATTTTATTGTTGCTTTCAGCGGAGGCAATGAATAATTTTTGTGGACTAGGATTTAACGGTTTTGACGAGAATGGAAGAGCGAAGTGGAACCGCATCACTAATGTGAATATTCTCAAGATCGAGGTGCGTCTATGTGTTAATTTGTTGTTCAAAATTATTGACTTTTTTCTTTTGTTTTTTTTTTTACCAATTTCTCATTTCTCATCGTTCGCTTTTCGTGCAGTTTGGGACCAGTCTGAAGGAAGTGCTAGACAACTGGAATATCGGTACAGTTCTGTGGTTGAGAAAGTATGTTATTATGTATTTATTGAATTGATGGGAAGGCTCTCTATTTTTCTTCTTTTCTCCTTTTGGTTCGCATCTCGTGGGGCAAAGCGGTTTTTTCCCGGGGCCTTGTGGCCCGTTTCTCGAAAGTCCCGGTAACTTAACGGGACCAAACGTAAAGGCGATTAAAACTTGTTTTACTAAAATAGTTTATGCTGTGCTGCTTAGTAGTTTTCAAGTTATCGTGTTGCGGCGAGCAAGAATTTCCAATTCTTTTACACTCTGAAAACCACCTACTGGATCTATAAAGGGGCACTTTCAAGAAGGCAAAGAATGGAGATTTATTCCCTTTTTTAAGTGCTTGGTTCCTTCATGTCATGTAGTTAAGAATTGTAGTTTACTTGGCTTAACATTTCACTCAATAATGCTTTTAAAATCACTTTCTTTCAGAATCGTGTATGATCGAGTCCCCTATCATCGCACGCGAGCTGTGTTCGTGTTGTCTGCTTTGTGGCATGGGTTCTACTCAGGATACTACATGGCCTTCGCAACTTGTGCACTAATGGTTGAAGCAGCGCGAAAGGTATATATTTCCAGGCTGAACATTGTTGAAATGAGTTACAGTTGGCCTTAAGAGGTTTTTGTTTAAAGCGAAAAATTTCAGACTGTGTTTAAGTGCCTAACCAATTATAGTGTCGCCAGAACAACAGGCGTCATTTTGTCGTTTTTCAAGCAAGCAAAGGCAAGCGCAAGGCGCGTGCGGAAGGCGCGGTGCACGCGAATGGAAGAGGGCGTATAACCTTCGCGTTCGTTTCGCGCTCATCGCCACAAAATTACGATTATTCTACAAGATTCAAAAACACTTAGCGGCCACTTTCTAAACGCATTTTGGTTCCAACCTCTCTATCAATTTCAGGAAAACAACAAAGGATCTTTTTCTTGCGGTTTCGTTTCCAGGTTCGTCGAAAATACAGGCCTCTTTTTCAAGGCTCACATGTTTCCTCTCGTTTTTATGACCTCATGACATGCGCAGTTACCATTTTTTCTTTGACATTTATTACTGTGCCATTCGTTGGTTTGGAAGCTAAGTTTGGCTTGGAGTTTTGGCGGTAAGATTTTCTTTAACTTTACCGGTTTAATTTAGTCATGATAATTATCAAAAAGGCTCATCTTCTATTAAACATGGCATCACTAGCTTACAGCAGCTGAAGCAATTTTATGAGGTCAAGACGCACAAGAGGATGGGTGTGTATCGTGGGTAGAACCCAGTCTCCTCTCGTTTTACGACTTGATAGTGGGTCGGCTTTCCATACACTCTTCTTGCATTGTTAGAAAACAGATACAGACTACTAATAGTCCGAATTTGTAAAGTTGCAATGTTTCAACGTTACAGCATTTTTAAAAAACTGATATACGTATCAGATGAGGGAAAGAAAGGTGGGTTACCTGTGGTAGATTCTCACTCACCCATCTCCTCCCCCCCCCCCCACCAACCTAGCAACGAAACTTCGCGTGGGGGGAGAGGGAGAGGAGAAGGGGTGCAGATATCCTCTTTGTTCCACGCGCGCGCAACTGTGTAGCATGTTAATGTATAAGTTGTTTTTCTTCTTCAGTTCCATGTATTACTATGGACACGTTTGGTCCATCGTAGCGTTTCTTCTCGTGAGTGGTGGGAAATCCGAGACCGTAGGAAAAGAAGACAACAAAACTGAAAATATGGAAGTAAGGAATGAAGAGAAGGACAAGAAACGCAACTCAGCGAAAGAGAATTTAACAGAGCTCCGTAACAGAGTTAACAAGGATATGGAATCACCAAATGAACTATTTTGCAATGGTACACCAAACAACCTGCTAAAGGAGAACTTAATCGTAGGGTCGTAGAAGTCAGACAGTAATAGAAAAGGCAGCAAAGAGCGAATGAATGTTAGACAGAATTTTATCCAAGGAATCCTCAAGAGCCTCTCACAGCTCATTTCTGAAAGAACCCTTCATAGAGAACCGTATATAGAGTTTAAATTGTAGCCCCGATTTAAGCATATTATATGCGCCTCTGCGTTGGAGACTTTACTTTTGTTGAAATAAAAAGACAGGGCGTAATATAGGTTGAACTAGAGTTCCGGCAAAGGCGTTTTAAGAATCCCCAGTCTTACGCGGGTACTTGTTATTTCACCAAATCGACGCTGGAAAAATTAATATACATGTTAAGAAGACGTTAATGAGCTTGTGCGCGTGCGCGTGCTTTGGGACTACCTAGGCTAATAATATCGTAAGCAAATCACGCGCACCTTTTAATTTTGACGTGCGCGATTTTTTAGAGTGGAGTGGAAAAGTTTTTAGTTTATCGAGTAGCAGTTTTGTTTAATGGTCGTTGTCGTTTACCGTGAGTCTACAGTTTACCGTGTTGGAATTAAAGTGTTTGTTTGGATTTCCCGTTTCGCTTCCGAACAATACAAAATATCTTAAAAAAAAAAGAAATGAAAAGATATAAAACTTGTAAATGGGATGGTTTGCCAGAATATTTTTAACTGTTTTTTAGCTCTTAATAGTTGCAATTTTTCCTACTAACTTGGAATAAAAGCAATGCGACTCCTGGTATTAAGCGTTTTTTTTTT